CTTTGTTCTCCTCTTCTGAGGAAAATTAGTGATTGATCCCACAGAGAACAGCTCTGAACTTCAATGGAGTTATACCAGTTTATACATGCACAAATGTTGATCTCCATCAGGAAATACAGTATTTCAATTCAGTGACACAAAGAAATCAAAACAGTATTGCTGGGATAGCAAGGCCATGATAGACAAAAATATTCAAGTCTCAAAACTTGAATACACCAGCATCCAGTAAACAATACAAATAAAATTGTGTATTAGCTGTAAGACACTGATGTGACCATTATTCTTTGTGGTTTTCCCACTGCACTACAGCAAAAGTGTGAGCTTGGAATTGATTATGGTCAGAAACATAAACTGCTCTTTTCTATGGCTTTTACCATTATTCCCATTGCAGTATCCCTTGAGATCCTTATAGCCAGCCCAGAAGTCAATGGTGCTACACAAAACCAGAACTGAAGGATAATCATTGTACAAAAGAGCTCAAGTGTTTCTGCACCTTGTAGTGGACAATACTTGTCACATTTCCCCTCCAGCCTTTGAACACTCTGGGAAGTGGCTGAGTCATCACCCCTGCAGGTATTTAAAAAGATGTGCAGATGTGGCACCTGGGGACATGGTTTAGTGATGGACAGTGCTGGGGGAACTGCTGGACTCAGTGATCTTCAGGGTATTTTCCAACCTAAATGATTCTGTGGTGCTGTGATTACTTTAGGGAAAGAATCAGCAGATTTATAAGCTACAACAAGCACCACCATCACCACAGGCTGCTCTGAAAGAACTCTGTACCCCATAAGGTTCAACCACCAAATTACAATTAAATCAGCAAAGGAGAACCTATGGTAATATTAGGCAACACAGGAAGCTTTTTATTGTCTTGCTGGCTCTACCTATGACAGGAACACTAAAAGATTGTTATCTCCTTTAGGTTCAGGCTCAAAAGTATTATCAAACCCCCTAATTCAAAGAAAACTATCTGCAGCACATTTCCCAATTTACTACATCAGGAATATATTTACAGTCTTCTCTATATCTGCAGATGAGGTGTCTTTCTAAATTTATAATGCACTCACTGAAAAGCTCTCATAAAAGCATAATTCCTGCTCCCATATCCTCCATTCCAACATTACTCACACAGAAACTTCCTGCACCAACAAGACAGAATAAAGCCCTTCCCAGCCAACCCCTCCAGTCCAGCTGACACATCATTAGACCACATCTCAACATCATGCAGCATGAAAGCTTGTGCTCACTTTTAAGAAAGACCAAGATAAAAGATTTCAGCTGAAAGGCATCATCAGACTCATTTATTTGATGTTCACTCAGACAACTTAGTTTTCAAAGCTGTAACTTTCTCCTGATAATACACACAGGCATAGCCATCATGTGATGATAAACCAGGCCAAATGTCTTCTATAAGATACTGCTAAGATTTTAATTACTTGTGTCTTCAAGCCTGTAAGTGATGTCTTCCCTATCTGCCTCAGAAACCTGGACTTCACCCTTGCTTCAATCGTAAATTCAAAAGCTGTCAGAGGCCCTTCAAATTGCTTTTGAAATATTTCTGTTCAACACCATTTTTCTAGACATCACAGGCAGTATCAAAAATATCACAGGCAACATAAAAATGATGGCTTGCGAACCACAGCAGAAAACCCACAGATCAATTACCTTGCTTCCAGGCAAAAAGCACTCATCGAAACCATAAAGAAACACTCACTCCAACATCAGCATATTTCTGTTGATTTTATGGAACATGAGAATTCCTCTCCATCCACCATCACCCACCATGCACAAACCCAAGCTGAAAGTGACCTGCCTCTCTTTCTCAGCCCCTTGCAAAATGAGGTAGGTGTCAACTCCCTTCTAACACTGCAGAGGGGTATCAGCTGCTTCTTCTCTCAGCAGTTTAATGGCACATATCCAATTAAACTCAGAAAACTGTTTTCTGTTTCTATGACAGACTCAAGGATGAACTAGTGTGGTCACAGGCCTGTGCAGTTTGTCCAACTACAGTTTGGTCAAATAAGCACGAAGCTGTGTTTCAGCCATGCCTCATCATCGCCATGCCTGTATTAACAACATGATAATGATATGCAAACACACCCTTTATAGGCTTTCTCACAGATGTCAGTGTGATGTACAGTGGGGAAACAGCCTACACTTTCATAAAGAGTAGTGTTTGCAGGGTGAAGAGCGGCTTCCCTGCTCAAGAGATTCCAAGCAGCTTGTTTTCTTTCCTTCTTTTGGCTGCTAAAATTATTTTGTGAACATAGTTAACACAAAACCCATTAAAAGAGACCAAAGATTAATTTCCAAAGATCCTACATATACTATGTCTGTATAAGTACCAATTCCTCACTGGATTTATAATTATTACACATGGGCACAATTATAACAATCACACCATATGGTTTTGTCTTTTCCACATAATTCACTAAATTATCATCTCATGAAGATTTAATATCTTTAATGCTTCCATATGAAGAAAATAATTCTTTTCTTTGATGTAATTTTCAGCACTATCCAGTGAAATCAAGTCCCTACTTTTTCATAACCACATTTCCTGCTTCCTGTGCCTGCTTCTGTTCCACTACATAAATTGTTTTCCACTGACATTTTCCTGCTTATCCTGAAACCTGTTCATAGAACCATGTGGGAAAGGCTTCAGTATTCTGTGGCTTTGTCTAGGAACCCTGCAACACCTTCCAGAGCCTGAAAAACATCAGGTCTCTCCCCCTAAAAGGAGTTAGCATTCAGCAGCCCTGCTCCATCACTCCATAAAACCAGGTTTTATGCACCACAGCTGTCTCCAGTAGCTGGGCAGCCAGCTATCCCACTCAATGAGAGGTATGTCCTTTCCTATAGTTATCTGAAGGAAGATCCAGAAAGTGTCCATGCCCTGAGAAGACTGAGCCTAAACCCCTCTGTGCCTGCCCTTGGCAGAGGGAACAATCAGAAATCACCCATTTGGCTTCTACACTTCTCCTAATTCTGGCAGCAAGGGACAGAATTGCATCCCAGATCTGTGACACTTCTTGAACAAGCCATTGAGTATAAACAGAGCCACTGGATCTGAAAGAAGCTATGACCTAGGTTTTCCCTGCTATTTTCATAGAGGCACTCCTCGTGGCTATTCTTTGCAAAGGAACAAAACAAGCAGGGCAGATCACCTCCACCAGAACATGCTGTGCTGCATAAATAGGCAGGTTTTTGGTATTTTTTAACCTTAATCAGCTTTTTCTAGATGTAACTCTATTTCCATCTAAATACTTCTAAATAGAGTAAGCCTCTACAGTAGAAACTTATTCTAATAAAGTTTACTGTGTAAGCTTATTAGAAATATGAGGGAACGAGAAACTTACACAACAGAGGATGTTTCTTATAATGTATTGTTTTCTCTTAGCTAAACTACAAATATTTATCTCCTAATTGTTTTCTCAATAATTAATCACTTCACAATTGATTCTTCTTGATTTGCTGATGGATGGTTTATTGTATTTCTGGTAAATTCTGCCTTACGGCAGGCAGTTTACCATGTAACACAAACTAAGAAAAAAATGCTCATTATCATCCCCATCTATTGTGTAATACTTCTACATGTCTGTCACCAAAAAGGCCTTTTACGGCCTCTCCATGCTACTCACCATTTCAGGGGATTTGTGTTAACTTTCACTTGAACTTGCTTGTTTTCGGATTTGATTTTCTTTCCTAAGAAATTCTTAAATTTTGCTGTCAACTCTTAGTATGAAAGTAACATTCACAGGATGCCTTTGATTTTATTTAGCTTAATTTCTCTATTTTTTGCTGCTCACAATTGATCATTACAGCAATTCAGTTGCAGAGAGGTTCAACAAGAATTGATTTTCCTCTGAAACAAATAGAGGATAGAAAGGAGGAAGAAAAACCATCTTTGCTCTATATGAAATTGAAAAAACAGTGCAAAATTAATTTCAGTAGTACTGAACCCAAAATATGCCTCTTTCCCAAAGCTGATTTAAAAGCAACCTTGAGTTGTTTTGTGTTTAAGATAAGGAATATGGTGCATGGTCATTTAGGTCAATCTTTGGACTTGCATGGTCTCAAAGTATGCTAAACACTGGAAATGTTGGACTGAAACATAAGGGTGTGCTGTCAGTGCTGTTACACTGGCAATTGTGGTGCCAATGCCAACAATCCATGGAAAAACATTTGCCACTGGATTAAAGGAACCTCTTGCTTTACCACTGCCTACACCTGTAAAGTAACACACATTATATCAAATTCAGGAAAAAAAAACAGTGACAGACGTGACAGATGAAATTAAGACTTCACCTTTGATCAAGATATAGATAAAATATTGTTATAGCTACCCAAATGTCTCATAATTAAACAGGTAACAAATGCTTGCACAGAGACATTTAAATACAAGCCACAGATATTTAAAAGCCATGTCTAAAAATGCAGAGGCAAAAGCCACCCAGGATTCCACAACTTTTGAACATGATAAATTCAAATTGCATTGTTTAGGAGAGCTACCGAATTCATCTTTTGTTCACATTATTCACATCACTGCAACATCACTTTTAAGAAATAAAGGAAACATTAGCAGTTGCCTCTATTTCAAAGGCTTCCACCCTGAACATCTGAGAATGCTATGGGATGTGACAAGTTTCTGAATTGCTCTCAGTGACTTTTACTGTACAAAGACTAAAATTACGGGGTTTTCTTGGGATATTATTTGCACTGCCTCTGGAAATAGAGCCTCAGTTGTCAATTATGATAAGATCTCTCTCCTGCTTTCTTGCTAGTTGCATTTTGCTGTATGGAGAAACAAACCCAGTGCTATCACTCTCACCAGCCGGGGAATTTATTAGAAAACCACTGGGCTCCTTCTGCCTCAGGATGTCTGCTGCCTGACTGCTATTTTTGCAATTTTAGACAACAGCTGTGGCTGCCAAACTGTGAGGAGATGCAAAATGCCAATTCTGTTTCCAAACATCGTAAGAGAAAGTGCTGATACTCACCAAACTATTCCCTGAGCCCCAGAGCCAATAGGTTTCAAGTTCTGGTAGCGTTTGAGGACGGTGAAGGTCGAGTCACCTACTTCCACGCTGTAGAACTGGTTGTCAACTTTGCTTTTGCTCATGTTGTAATGTTTGGCAATATATGACACATCCACTTGTTTCCCAAATCCCTGTCGTACAGAAGAAGGGAAGGGGAGAGGGGTTGGTAAAAACAGAGAAACCAAGGCTGGTAAAGCATTAGAATACTGATAAAGCACTGTCAGCCTAATTTTTCAATATAAATTATTGTCATTTCCATCTCATTTTCATAAAGACTGTATCAAATCTTCTTTCATGCAGGAAATCACCATAAAAAGGCACTGATTAAAGAAAACCAGTTAAAGAATTCTCCAGCTGATGTTTGTGACACAGCCACTGCCAACTACTGGTCCCTGCCGGCCATCACTCCTGCCTCATGACTACTGGATTATGTGCTCGCGCTGACTCTGCCCTCGTTCATTTTGCAATTAATTTAAAATAAGATGGCTTTCATCAGTGTGGAAGTGGGACAAGAGACACAGGAATCAGGCCCTTCATTATGGATCAGACAGAGCAAGCAAATGTATTCCCATGAGTGCTAAAACTTTCCCTGAGCACGTGATAAAGGCCTTGAGAATCTCCCAACAGGGATTGCAAAAGAAACAGAGCAGTAAATGAGACAAGCTGTGACCCAAAATGGCTCAGTATCATGGAGATTCATCCAGAAGCTCCAGAGGTCTTCAAGAGTTCTGGTTTCCTAAGGATAGGAGGGAGGACTGCTCTCGTGACCTAACAAATGCAGCAAACACCAATTTTCATGACACAAAACCAAGCACTGCAGCTAGCACTGCACAGCAGTGCTCCTCCCCTAAACTGTAAAATTAAAAACCAATAATTTTTACAAGACTTAAAAAACCCTCCCTCAAATTTGTAAAACTACCATGCAGCAAGTTACATTATAACCCCTTTATGACTACTGCTGAGCTCAGTTCCCCATGGACTACAGAGCAAATTTATAGTAAGTAGAGATAAAAATCAGAATTAAGTGCTTGTAATTAAGGATTCTATAGTACATGATTCTGAGCACAGGATGCAAAAGCTCAACATATTACAACAGAACTGCCCTAAAAGAGTTGACATTTCAGTTATGGAAGCCAAGACATGCCCAGATGCCTTCCATAAAGCAAACCCAAAAAACAGCTACACCTCTGTGTATGTATTTTTTTTTCAGTGCTCCCAAACGCAGCTTATAAATTTTCTTATTTGCTCTATTATAAATTTCTTTCCCCCCAAAAAAATCTGAATGATCAAATGCATTATGTGTTTATGGACTACTAAGTTGAAATTTGATCAACCTGGGAAAAAAGTAAAGTTGACTTTGATTACATTACTCATTCAATTAAAAAGGACATCTTTCCAGTGTTCCAAAAATCTGGCCATTAAAAATAGATTACTGACCTTGCAAAGAACTTGGATTTTAAGGTTTGCCTTGGAAAAATTATTATTATTTTTTTGTCCATTATCTGACTGGAAGGCCCTTTGGCACTGGACAGCATCATCCTAAACACCTAATTTATAGACTTTGAAACATTTTAATAAATGCAGCTCTTCATTCAAACACAAAGTCTCATCTCAGAAAACCAAGTGGTAACTTTACATTAACTTGTTCCTCAAACATTGTGAGGGGGAGAGCAGGAGAGGCCTTGCCCTAACACAAAAGGTGAGAGATTTACGGACACTGACACAGTGCTAAATTGAAGCTTCCAGAGAGTGAAATAATTCCAAAAGAGGTTTGAATTTTTCTCATTGGAAGACAAACAGGTTGCATCTGATTCACACTGTGTAGCCTTAGTCTTAAAATGTCTTCCATTCTGTGAAGAGAGATGCATAAATTTGGCTATTCAGCTCAGGTATTTATACCAGACCTGAAATTGGGAGGGGTTTTTTTGGTTTTTTAATAACATGCTCCTGATTGACAGGAATTTCACAACTCCCTCTGGCTAGACAAGCACATTTGGAGCATGTTTTTCCTGATGTCATTATCAGAACAATGCAGGACATATTCAGCATTAACACCCATCACTCTGAAACCAATGTTTATATATAAAGTGTCAGCATAAAAATTGCATTCCTGAGTGAGCCTGACTCATATCCAGCTCCTCTGGAAGTACAGACAGAGTGAATTTTTAAAACAAATTGGATGACTGTGTTAAGGCTTGGATGAGCCAGGCCTGCCACAACTTGTTTGTGTCCTCACTCCCAAGCTACCTGACAGCTCCTTGTGTGGCATGGAGCTACATGGGAGCACATATTTTATCACTCTGTGTCTAGAACAAAATTACTTGCTTTTAAGTTAGCCTGACCATGTGAACTACTAGCCTCAGGAAACTCAAGCTGCGTACAGCGGGGTTTCTGAACTGCTGCAGTTCCAGCAGCCGGTTCTTTTAAATTCAGAAATGTCTTAAAAATCAATTAAAACAGCTGAGAAGAACCATGCTGTAGCACCTCAGTTATGTGAGTAATTAACATATCCAATTGCTTCAGTCAACAGCAATTAAAGTTGTGGACCCAGAAGACCACAACTGATAAGAAAACGTGAATGTCCTGATGATGTTCTGAATCTGCTCCTAACTGTGTGACAGAGGGAAAGGTAAAGACTGTTTTATTTTCCATTGAATAATTTTTTCTTTTTAGATTAGTATCTTTTTCCCTACTTAAAAATTTGTGCCCCATAAAGTTTTTGATAGAAAACAAACACCAAGCATTACTTGGAAAAATTCAAGGCAGGCTGATTTAGTTTGAAGTTTACTTCAAGCAGGATGCCTCCTCTGAGTGACAAAAATTTCAGCTTTGTGGACAGGCCAAGGTCTAAGTTGCTTCCTCGCTCTAAACCCACACTGCTATAAAACTACCAAAAAAATCCCACCAAACACCGAAACAAACCTCTACTCTATATTTTCCAATTTTTACCAAAGCCTAAACAAGCAAAACAAAAGCACTGTAAGGTTACTGATGCCCACTGCACTGCTTACTTTCATAACAACAGGAGATGAGTGATATATCTATCCTTGTCATGATGCTGACTTAAACCAAATCCCTAAGTCAATGAATTAACACCATTATTGAATTAATCACATTTGATCAGATCCCCAAGCCAAGCTGACATATAATCAAGAACCTTCTCTGATTGATTCCACAGCCACTTCCTATTGAGGACAAGGAAATGGCAGTTTTGTTTCACTCCAAAATTAAGATAAAAAATCTTTTCCCTTTAGCAAGGAAATTCATACTCTTTACAGAGCATGTCAATGTTAGTTTTAGTTTCCAATCCTGATGAAAAAGTTCTTCTCCCAGTCTTCAAATTCACATAGCTCATCTAAAGAAGCCTACACACTACATTTTGTTCCCCTGTTACATCCTCAGTGCTCATTTAAAGCCCTTCCAGAAGCCTTGGTGTTGGTACAGATACTGATATTCCCCCAGATGCCCCTCTGTACACCACTAAGCTATTTCAGATTCAGGTTTTACTGCACAGTGCTTACAAGTCCTGTACAAACAGCTGAAGTTAAAGCTTTGATTATGTGGCATCAGTAAGGAACCAAGGGCTAGGAATTTCCAGTACACACCCTTCTGTAGATGCACCTAACCATAAACTCCTTTCAAATGTGATTGAGGCTAACATCATAAGAAACCAGGAATTAGCACTTCATTAAGAACTAGATGGGGGAAGGAAGTTTATAGATACACAATGCAATCAGGATACCACAGTAAAAATGTATAAGTCTCATAGAGTAAAGTGAATCACAGTGAGTTAATATATTTTCAGGTGAACTTCAAATGAACTTGGGCAAGCTACAATACTGAGGCCCCAGAACAACAGTAAACATTGAAGCTGTGAAACTTTGAACAAAACTCATCTAAGTTTCTCAGACCCCTGTGTAAGATGAAAGATTATTCCTCAGAGACAAAGCGTGCATGGAAACGCCATTTGTTCTCAGTTTCCATAAACATTTGGACAATGAAATTACATTATTTCAGCACTGAGACAAACTTAGCCTTCATTTTATATGTACAAAAATGCATGAACCATTACTTTCTCCTTTCAGTACCTAATTGAAAACTTCTAGTGCACACACACACACATTCCCCAATGCCATTCTCTTTCCTCCATATTGGGAAATTTAAGAGTAAGAGAAGTGAAAGTTTCTCAGCCCTGAAAACCTAACTATCCTTGTTAGCTCACATAAGCATGTAGCCATATTTGCAATGATGTTTGCTTAGTAACCTGACAAGTGAGAAAGAGAAAAGAAAATAAACTGTCAAGACTCAAGCATCTGAGATGAAGGAAAAAGATACTCCCACCATTACTAATTGCTTAGAGAGGATGTATTTTTCTTTCAAAGGACAAGTATTTAAAAATTTAGTGGAACTCAAATAACTTACTCAATAACTTACACAGAGCTACAAACTGTATTCCTTTCTTTCTTTCAAAGTACAGAGAGCAAGAGAGTTAAAAAGCCCAACAGAAACAAAATTATGTTATTTTCTATATTGTAAGGTGAATTGCTTCCTGATATCCCATTTTATTTGTCCATTTCTATCCTACAAAATAACTATATTTATCATATTTTACAGACAGACTTTTGTTTCTGAACACCATTCCCTCTATTATTAACAAACCTAAAATATGGCAATATCTTGGAGCTCAGAATCTCATACATTTCAGCTTTTATAAATACAAACCATGCTAGCAGCAATTTAAGGCAAATTACTCTCCCTTGCATCTCCGAGACAGTGAGCACTGTCACAGATTCTGCTGGCAGCATCAGCAGAGGGGAAACTTTACCTCAGTGTTTGTATCCTTCCCTGTCTGCCCACAGAAATCCTGGCGGGAGCACCCATTTGAGGGTGCCATGATGCAAGGCTACTGAAATCAATAAAAGCTCTGCAGGTGTGTGTAAATGCAGGTGGGTGGAAGAAGCAGATGGAAGGCTGAGAGGCTAACTCCCAGCTAGCACAGAGCCCAGAGATGGGCAGGATGAATCAGAGAGGATGCTCTGAGCCAGACACCATGGTGGCTCCCAAGCAGCCCCCACATCTGCACCCAGCCTCAGACAAAGAATCTGGTGTGGACCACAGCAACATTCCAGAGGTGGATGCCTCTGGATCCCTCAGGACACAAAAGGATATCCTAAAGCTACAATTTAACCTTGAAAGTCAAATGCTGAGGTTGTGCAGACCAACATTCATGAGTCTGGTAAAACCCTCAGGCTTCTGGCCTGCTCACCTGGGTGCATCTGCCCAGACAGCAGCAATGTGAATTTAATGGCTGTGCTCCCACTTGCACAGCTCTAATTCTCACAGAAGTCTCAAGTGCCAGAATTCTGCCATGAACATGAATTTGCTGAGCCCTCTGCTTCAAATTTCATGGTCACAGGTTTTGCTGTGTAAATTTGAATGGCCACAGAAGCTGTCACTTGGGAAATACAGTGTCTTACATAGAAGACACTCTGTATTTAAAACACTCTGTATTCTACATATGACACATTTATTTAAAATAAATGTGTCATATATAGAATACACTATTTAAAACAATATAGTTTTAAATAGTGTATTCTATATATGACACATTTATGGCAGAAATTTTATCTATTTCTTTCTCCCCATAAAGCCAGACTTCTCACTTCTTCTGGCTCTCCCTGAACTCAAAAGTCCATAAACAGTGATCCAACCTCCTACACAGGGTTTCATCTTGTGTGTATGCTTGGATGTAATATTGCAGACTGTGGTTTTACCAGCCACATCTTACCACAGTTCTCCATTCTTCCACCTCATTCTCTTCCTGTGAGGCTTGTATTAGTCACCCAGTCTTCCTGATTTTAGTGTGTTTTGAGAGGGATTTTAAAGGTAATTTCTGCCCTACTTTTAATCTCTCTCCAGCTGCCTTGCCCCCCAGACAGGGGGCTTTCTGCACTTAGCCTTTCAAGCAGACAATAGACCCTTGCGAACAAGTCAGCCTTGACTGATCAGTGATCGATCTTTTTACATTTGCTTTATTCACTCCATTTCAACACACCATATTAAAGCATTTCATTAAATGTAGTACAATGTTTCTAAGTGCTGGTTGGGTTTGTTTGGGGATTTTTGGGTTTTTGTTTTGTTGTTTTTGTTAGGTTGGGGATTTTTAATAGCTGTTATTTTTTATCTATTTGTTTAAACACTCTGTCCCTGTTTAACCTCTTCTAACTGAGACACAGAAAACCTATCAGCTTACCTAGCTCTTACCTAGCTCTGATTGCACACAAAGCAGCAAGTCTGCCTTCTCCTTTTCAATTGTATCTACTCAAAACATGAAGCAAAGCACTATTTACTTATTCTTCTCTGTCCTCCACATGTTCACTGAGCTCTTGGTACTTTTAATTTCTTCCTTCCCACAGATACCAAATTTTCATAGGTCATTTCTAACTGTGGTATCATGTATTGCTCAGAAGTCACAGTGTCCCAGAGGTGTGGTCCTCATTCCAGGCCAGATTCCTACAAATGAGCAATCTGAGAGTATCTGCACAAGAAAACACTACTGCAAATGATTCCTGATTCCCCTGATCCCTGAAGAGCTCAATGCTGACACACAGGTGACATCCAGCCCTGGCCATCACACCAAAGGAGGTTGAAAGGACTGATCAAGAAACACTGAAAGAAAATGTTCCTTGAGACAGAGGTTTCTCTAGGGAGACAAACTAAATCAGTAAACCAAATCAAAATATAGCCAAAGATACAGGAGAGAAAGTAGATTTCTCAATAGAACTATATAATTACAGTATGGGATGTGAAGACAATAGTTAATGAAAGAATTCTCCCTTTTACAAATAATGTATGGAGCTAAGTAATCACACCCTTAGCTAGAAATAGACAGCTCTTGACCCTACAAAGTATCATTTTATTCATAGAAATCTAATAGATCAATTGTTGGTAACTTTTGAATGCTAACTCATCTCCTTGGATAGAAGGCATAATCACAGGACACACTACATTTGTAGAATTTAGAATTGTATTCTAAATAAAGGCATCCCATATACCTACAGCTTAGGGAACATGTAAATTCTGACAGGCTACACGTCTTGATATTGTTTTAAAAAAACATACTGGAAGACTAAATGGAGAAATACATGGATGAAGAAGTCAGTATTCTTTTGGAATTATTAGATATTGTTAATATATTAGTATTAAAATTTAATGTCCTATTCTACTCATGACACACTACTCTGCATTACCTTGTGCTATAATAAAAATGTGTAGGGTCCTACAGATAACAGCTTGTTGGTGACACCAGCCTTAGAGAAGTGTAATGAAATTCTACAGGCCTTCTAGTCCTACTTTTCTATTATGATAGAAAAGCAGATGTTCTCTTCCTCAGCCTTAAAAAAGGTGGCTGTTTCAGAAGATAAATTGGCTACCCATGTCCAGTAATCCCAGACCTGGGTGTTTTCACGCTGCAGACAGGGTGAAGGGGTGGGGAGGTACATATTTGCCCTATTTATGCTACTGAGTGTTTCTCAGGAAGGGCCGTTCTTTTGTTCTTAAGCTGAAAATCCTTAAAATTCTATTCCTGCTGAATTAGCATTTCATTGTACAAAACTAGTATGCTCAGGGACATAAACTCTATGTCAAAGATAAGAGCCTGTAATTATGAATATGTCACTTGCCTTCAGAGAACATAAAGCTATGTCTTTTAGGCTATAAATACATATTACAAGAAAAATACAGCCCCAGTACTAAAAATAATCAGGGTTGCCATCAATATTGGAGCTTTCAGGAAGGCACTTCAGCACAAACACTTTGGAGAAAGTCTGCAGTGAGGCATAAATTTCAAATGGAAGCAGGAATAAGAATGGAATAAACAATACTACCACCTGTACACTATTCCTAGTCTCTAAATAAAGATCTGGATGCTTGCACCAAGGACAGAGATATAACCCCCATCCACTCTAAACAATAGAAATGAACAGCACCCAAGATAGGCCTTAATGCAAGCAGACACTTAATTTAGAGAGTGTTCTTGCAGATAGTTACAGCTGTTGTTTGGATCAGGGCCTATCTTTATGGAGAGAATAAATTAACATGAAGCTTAAACCAGTTTTTATCCTCAAGAGAATTGATCTGAAGGTCTGAAGACCTTGAAAAGGTGTCTGTGTGGCAAGTGCTTGAAGGATGGAATTCTGTTACCTACAATGCCAGGACAGTGTCTCTTTGGATGTATTTAGTGGATGGTGCCATTCTGGGTACCTGCTTCAGCCTCAAACAGGAATTAATCTCACTCAGTGATAAAAATGCATCCAAAATGCTCTAAGTAAAAAGGAGAGAAGAGCTATGCAAAAAACCTATATTCTGCACAGTGAAAGTATTATTTTATAATTAACACTTTTCTCATACAATCTGAGAAAAAAAATTGCAATTTCTGCAAATATTTTTTGGAAGCAAACTCTGTCAAAGCATTACAAAAATACTATGTTTGACAAAGCTGCCAGTGGAAGAATTAAGCCAGTTAAACACATGCACATAAATTAATATTAAGTGTCCCTGAGTTAAAAAACATTAAGCAAACTTTCTAACACCTGTCACTGTCTCATGTCAAATGCTCTTACGTGAGAGAGCATTCTTTCCCTTTCCTTTTTTACAATTGTGCTTTCACTTGGACTCCAATTGTAATATGAAAGAAAAAAATAGCGCTTATCATAAATTTATTTCTAAGAATGCAGCATTGTTTTTCAACTTCAAAAAGTGAAGAATGTCCCTAATATCCTAATATCTCTCCAGTTAGTTAGATTACTGATGTCCCATCCCACAAAAAAACCTTAAAACTATGAAGAGACAAAATTCAAGCACAAAACATTGTTCAGAAGTGAGCAAAAAAAAATTATCTTTCATTCACAAGGGAAAATTATGCACACAGATCTGTGACTAAATATGTTAACTAAATTAACCAAGGAAAAAAACTGAGATAAATCAAAAAGCTTTTTCTTTGCGCCAGAGATTTAGTTTCAGCTTTGTGGGCTCCCATACATTGTGACCAAACCATTTCAAGGGTGATGTAGAAGTACAGAATTGGCTTTAGTGCAGCCTCATGGCTCCAGGGCCTCAATAGCACATGGTGTTCAATGGGAGACAAAACAAAGACCACAATTTTAATTACTCTTCCTTCACTTCCAATATAGGTAAACAGAAAATTAGTCACAGGCTACAATGTAAAAGGCTCTGTCTCAGAAGAACAGAGACTAAGATAAAATAGCTTTAATTTGCAGTTTTTCTGTTTGAATACTGTGCCATTATTTTCCAGTAAAAAACCTCAGAATATTAACTGATAGTTTATCAAAACAAAATCAAAAATCATTAAGACCAAATTACAAAATAAACTTGAGGGCAAATAGAAAACTTATTCTTTGTGATGCATTTCTCTAATTTCTTTTGTATTTATTCTCATTTTTATAACCAGATACTTGCAGTAAGCTGCTGAAACTCACTTCTATTTTTCTCTTATTATAGCATGTATTGCAAAAATGAAGTACAAGTATATACTGTACCTTGTTTTACCTGTAAGGAACACACACCTGACAAAAGGCAATCTTCACATCCAGAGTAGGTTCACCAAAATAATACAAGAAATGGCGGCTCATAAATACCTGCAATTAAAGAAAAGCAGACATAGAATTCTTGTCTGGCTGCTGATGTGCAAGTATAATGCAGCTCTAGCTTCATTTGGATTATAAAACCAACCTGATTTGTTACCCAGCTTGTCAAAACCAGAAATATTGTAACACTAAACTGTAAAAAAGCCTTAAATTCTGTCCAATGCCTGTCAAGTTATGGCCCCAAATATGACTTGGTTACATCTGGAAAACCTTACAGTAACTGGTGCCATTAATTCAAAGTTTATCATATCACTTGCATATTCCTACACCAAAAATAAAAACAACAAAATCAGGTCAATAATGTTCTAAACAATGTGGGTGTAGGAGACATTATTATGGGAAGGAAAAAAAAAGTCCTAGGTTGACAAGTATTAGCAAAGTCATAGAAGTGGAAAGACTAGCCACATCACTGTGTAAATTCATCCACTTTGTGAGCACCCCATGTAGTTCTCACTCTGGTCTTTACATTCTACCACTAGAAAAGCTACAGAAAAAGGCAGTAAGAAGGGTCCAAAGCACATTTTTTGTTTTTTTAGCCTGGAAAAGAACTGTCTGAGCAGAAATATGCTGGAGATACATAAAATGAGTGGCATACTGAAAAATGAAATGGAAAACACCCTTCTATTTCTTTTTTTCAAATTAAAATAAAAAAAGGCACCAAGTTATGTTATGAGAGTTAGAATCAACAACAGGAAATAGTTCTTCATACACTGTTTCATCACAGTGAGTCTCATGTTGCTGTGGAAGCCAGAAGTCAGCACAAGCACTGATATGATTAGGCAAATTCACATGAGAAGAAATCTGCTGAAGGCTATTAACCTCGGAAATATCACCCCTGACTCAAGACACCCCTGAGTCACAGTCTGCCACTCCATGCTCAGCTATTTCTGGATTTCCCAGTCAGCTGATACTGGCCCAGAGAGCCATAGGCTGCACTAGACAGCCTCCCTGCACACCCCATCACAGCTGCTTTTGTTTTAATTTAGCTCCACAGCAGCACATCCAGCTCTGCCTAGCCAGTCCTGTCCCAGCTGCATCCCAGCATGGCACATCAATGGCCAACACCCACAGCAATGTTGTCAGGCTGGGATTGGCAGCTATGTCACAAGACTTTGGAGCACATAGATTCTTCTGCATGACTCCAAAAAACCACAAAAAACTCAACCAAAAAACAAAACAACAACAAAACTCTGTCAATGGTGCAATGGAAAAACCTAGCAACTTTTAGCTAAAATTAGATACATTATATAGAACTTAATGTTTTTCTGTTAAATATAAGCTCATTGTAAAGACTTAAAAATGAAAACAAAACAACCATCCAACCATCACTCCATAAAGACAAAGCTATGATTCTGAAACACTATGTACTCATGGTGCTTGTCTTCAGTAGGAACAACTAACTAACTTCAGGTGTAAATGGCACTAAATAAGACAAGACTTAATTTGGAGTAATTTCAACTCACACCAACTGATCAGGAGTAAAGAAACTACAAGAAAGTATTCACCAACACTTGCCAACTTCTATGCACCATGTGCTCCCACATGTGTTTAATTTTTAATGAATGAATATATGAATAATCCTGTTATGAAAGCTAGTTTATGACCTTTTCTGCATCACGTTACAGTGTCTGAGATTGCTGTCTCACTGCCCACTGAGTCATTACCAGTCTCATATTCCACAGAGGCTTTATAATAGTTTATATTAAAACAAAAAAGAAGAAAGGAAACTTTGAAAAAAATAGGAAGGAAAAAAAGCTTTTAACATTAGTCATATTGCCATGATTTCTGGAAAGTCAGCAGGTAATTACACTGTCATGCTGCAGATATTCTCCCTGGCTGTATGCATCACATTGCTATAACAATCAATGACTGAAATGTCAATAGCTATGACACACCATGTTCAAGACACAACTTAATGGTGGAAAGTAAAGAAAGGAAGGGAAGAAAATTGGGGGAATTTGGTTTCTCTCTGAATTTGCTGTGAGGGACTATTGAGAAGATATACTTTGTATTATGCATGCATTACTAATCATACCCTGCTCCTCAGCGGTCCACAGGAATTACTGTGACTGTTAATAGTCACCCTGGGCAGAACAATAGACTGGTGAGTTTTAGGAACTGGAATACATTTTAGAGTTTATGATGTTGTCCTTGTGGGCAGTTAATGCTTATAAAATAATAGAAGTATGCTATGTTTTAATGGCCTAGACCAATACTCATATTCCTCTGTACATGAGATATACCAAATGAATCACTATGGAGCTGAACTCCTCCAGTTATACAACGGGAATGAATGCCACCTTTCCATGGCACAGAAAGGTGCACCCAGGACAAAACAGACTTGAGTTCATGTTCTAAAGTGTTTATTGAATTCATACAACATTCCCTTTGTGCCTTGTAAGTGATCACACATGTATGTAACTTCTAATTCCTTCAGGCAGAAAACAGATTTGCACTCAGCTGCACAGATCTCCTTGATCACGTCTCCTCTGGTGCGAGCTGACACCACATCACTGGAGATGTTTAAGAAGTGTCAGAATAAAGAACTGGCCTGATGCTGAGATAATTGTGTTACAACATAAAGCAGTTATCAAACAAGAAGCTACTGAGACAAACAGCATCGCTCACCAGTGACTGGAGCTTTATGTGAGAGCATAAGCATCCAGTATTTCTTTACCCCACCTCTGACACTTTACCTTTTCAAAACTGAGTGAAATCACCAAAGGGGCAGAGAACTGGGAGAACAGAACACTGCTGATAGAATAAAATACTCTGGGAAGCCAGAGACTTCTGTAGCATTAAAGGGAGAAAACCTGTCTGTGAAACAGCAAAGCCACAACTGGATCCCAAATCTTCATTATGATCAAGGCAACTGTATGCCAGGAGCCACAAAAACATACAAGACTCAGCAGCAAACATATCACATACTTTCAGGCAAAACAAAACTAGGAGGCACTAAAATCAGGAAGAGGAAAGCAGCCATGAAGGCAAGATAAAGAAAATACTGAAAATCCTCTGATCTGTACAGTGGCACAGCTCCAAGGGAACTGCTGGATGGATCCACTGAGGTTTGCCTCTACCTAGCCTGCTGCTTTGCCATCCTCTTCTTCACTCCACTCTTCCTTCCTCATGGAAAGCTGTTCTTTAAAACAGAATGTGAACTAAAGACATGCCCAAATTTCAGGCACGAACTTCTCTTTACCTGCAGCGCTCCTATCAAATCTTCCTTTTCTGTACAAGGACTTTTTAGGGCCTTTTTTTTACTTTTAATAATGGTTATCTGTCTCTCCAGGGGTCAGGAGGATTATCTAAGTATTATTCAAATAGCTCTTTGAAGACTGAAAGGATTAAATCAATACTATTAGTATAATTACTGAGAAAAGAGAAAAAACCATGAGAGCAGCTAAAACAGACCAGAAAACCAACAGCAGATGCAGTTCTCAAATAGAGCCTCCCACAGTAAATCTTTCTGCTCATCTTTGAATTCTTTCCTCACCCTCAGTGCTGTAGGATATTGGTACCCAGGGAATGTATGGGCAATTTGGCCCAGTCAGATTAAATATTTTGGCCTAGGAGTGTTCTTTTCTACCCAAGCTGCCTTATCCTTCACATGTCCATGGCTCCTGGATCATGGACAGGGTGTGTTTGCCTTAAGCCTAAGAGATGCAAACCTCCAGTCTGAGGGCTCTGGGCTGTTGCTCTGCTGGCCCAAGGAGAGCCTAAGCACTTGCACCCACCATGTTATCTGGAAAAGGCATCACAGTCACTTCCTTTTGAGAAAATACCTAATCAACAGGGGATGCAGGGATAGTAAACCATCCATCACTGCCCAATGGACAGAGCCTCAGCCTGACACAGTATATTTAAACCCTTTTGTGAAAGTTCAGGAGGGCAATGTTGAGCCTCAGTAAAGTCCCATGTAACTTTTTATTCAGAGAGATAAAGGAGCCATCTGCCCTGCTGCTTCCTTCATCCCAGCCCAGGCAGGCAGGGCTGCTCCTCTCACCCCACAGCACCACCACCTGTGTCAGACACACTGACCCAGGGCTCAAACAAGGCTCTCCATCAGGAAAAACTGCACAGCTCTTTGACCTGTATGTAAACCAGGGTTTAAATGCACTTGAAATGAATATCCCAAACTAGCCCTGCTGCTGTTCTCATCACCTCCCACCTGCTCCCATACTTTGAGAGGTATTTACATGCCTACAACAAAACAAAACGGAAACAAATGCTTAAATTCCTAATTTAAAAAGTAGCCCCACATGGAATTAAAAAAAATATTAGAAATGCAAGTCCCAATTTAAACAGGAATCAAATGGCAGCTGGAGATAAAGTAGAAAGAACTACTTGTATGTAAAACTCCACTAGATTTAAACCTGGCATATTGTGGCTGCAAACTGGAAGGTTATAAAAGAATCACAGGACATCCACCAATATCTAGGCCAAGTCCCATCAATTGTGATAATCTCAGTAATATGGGGAAGCAATATATATTCATATCAAGTAATCAAATCCAGCTTTTCTGTTTATTTGATATTACCATCCAAATACATGGCATGGGCACCATGGGCACAGTGAATGTGCTCCCTATCTTCACCAACTTGCAGTTCTCTACTTGTTCTACAAAAGGAGAATTAAAGTATTTATTACTACCTCATTTAGTTTCATTCATAAAGATTCAGGGCATGAAAAAAATTAATGAAATAGCACCATCACTTAAAGTTATTTTAAAAACCCATCCTGTCCTAATTCAATGAGAGGGGGCAATTGATCAATTCAGTTGTCACTTAAAAACCTTCTTTAAAAACACTAATGTTCAAAGATTAACTTTCATGAATTATTAATGCTTCCTGTTTTGAAAATGTGCTGGAACAATTTCATGCATTTCCAGTACTGGAATTCCTCTCTCCTTCATCTGAAAATACATCCTCTCACCACAGTATAAGTTCTCTGAAGCTTTCAGTGATGTTCTAACTCCTGTAACTATATTT